CTGGGGATCTGTCTCTGGGGCTCATCTAGTTGTCCTGATCTCCGCTGACATTCAGGGCTGTAGAGGTCCTCTCTAGGTGCTGATCCACCATCTGGGCTGGATACGTACTGGATCCGGGTGACTGCAGTGACCATCTGATCTGGATACAGACTGGATCTGGTGGCTACGGTGACCTCGGAATAAGAAAGAAACAGACTAATATTAGCGTAGATGCCATTCATCTAATGATGTAACAAGTACATCGGGTGTTATGGGAAGTGTTCCCGTTTCCGGTTGACCTAATTAATGCAGCCTAACAATCCTTCAACAGATTTGAATTATAGAAGTCTCTTAGTGTGTTATGTGTAAACCAGGTTAAAGAGATGGGTTTTTAATCTAGATTTAAACTGACAGAGTGTGTCTGCCTCCCGAACAGTGTTAGGTAGATTATTCCAGAGTTTGGGAGCTAAATAGGAAAAGGATCTGCCACCCCCAGTTGATTTTGATATTCTAGGTATTATCAAATGGCCAGAGTTTTGAGATCATAGCGGACATGAAGGACTTTACATGTGTGCATCACATGTAATCATCAAAACATCAAATCAATTATTTATTATTATTGAGATCAATCTCGCTCCATTCTTAATTGTCATTGAAAAGTATTAAAGGCACAATATGTAAGATTTTCGTAATACAATATTCAAAAACTACTTGCACGGTATGATATATTTCATGCAGTTGTGTATTTGTTATCCCAAAAGTTCCCAAGGATTTGTAAATCCAGAGAAATTCCAATTTTAAATAATGACTCCTCCCTGGTCGTTGTCACCTCTCAATGGTGTAATATCCGCACTATGTTTGTAGAAACTGGAGACACATGGACACAAACTAAATAAAATGAGCAGATCTAAATTTAATGCTGCGGTCAACACTATTAATTTCATTTTCAGTGTTGCGCCATGATTTTTTATGCATTTTTACAGTGTTGCGCATTATAACCAAAACACACGAGTATGTTGAGCTTTTGAATGCAATGGCCAATCAGAGGCGTTCAGATGAGTTTTTTGTTCACTGCACGCACTGGCTGACTGAATTCAGCTCTCATGCAAATTCTCTCACCATAAACAACAAAGTGCTGATGTATGCAGGGCTCGCAAAATCGCTAGCCCGACGTCCCGGGGCTATCGTGTTTTCCAGTCGGGCTGCCAAAATGTATCACCACTCTGCCCGACGGGCTATCTTAAATACAGATCTCCCGCGGGTCCTTAAAAACTCCTAAAGTGAGTTGTATCAAACTTAAGGCCATAAAAAGTTTTAAATACGTTAAATGGTATAAGAAATGCCTTAATTATAATTTCAAGAGGTCTTACAGTTGGGGATGGAAAGACAAGAGTTGCGATACAGCTGGATTAAACTTCAAAAGACAATGATGTCATTGAATAAATATGAGCGCTGTACGTTTCAAGTCAAAACGCGGCGCGGATGTCTTTATTTGAATGTATCTGACGGGAACCGACGGTCCTCAGAAACGTGCCATTGGCATTTTAATTTAAGTTGACCTATAATTCCTGATAAAGCAGCGTTTATGATCACGGAGCTGCTTTGTGTACAGCCGTTAGCGGTGATACCGCAATATTTCAGCGCTCCTAAAGCGCCACCTCGTGGCAGAGAATAAATTTGCATTTCCAATAAGCCTTTCTTTGTGATTATGGTCAGATCAATTCAAATATAGACTCATGTTTTTACGCAGCAAACACATAAGAGTCGTAAATGAGAAAGAAGTTAATGTGCCTTGGGCTACCAAAATCTGAAGAGTACCTGCCCGAAGGGCTACCAGGGATTTAAAAATTTTGCGAGCTCTGGTATGTATGATGTGAGTATGAGATTCATTCATCAAACAGTGTATAGACAGCTTTACTGATTATAAGGGGAGTTTTTTTAAGAGTGCTTTAACTCGCACTGGACCAAAGGAAGTCATAATGTTCTTTGGCAATGTAAATGTTCTTTGCACGCTTTCTCTGTATAATGTATTCGCTGTTTGAATAACTGTGGAAGGTACAGGTAATAAAAAATAATGACCTCATCCGTGAACAGCTGTCATCAAGCATCCCAACTCCGTGTTCAGAAAATAAATTAAGTTTACTAAGGAACCCCAAAAGGGAATAAACAGCCTATAAGATGGGAGGATAACAATTTTTTTCAATACTTTCTCTCGCAATTATATCTTTGGGTAATTATACTGTATATAAACTGCGGCCATCAGGGAGCCGCTACTAAAATGCAGGGCATTGAAACCGCTTTCGAATGCACACTCTCATTTTACTTTCACTTTCGAGATTCGAGATCACATGGACTCTATACTACGGAGCGGCAGTACCTACCACACATTTTACAAGATTGTCAGTGGTGCTCCGTATCTGCAAATCATTCGCCATTGTCCTATCAGTCATCTCTCCTTACTCTGTGTATGTGGTAAGTGAACTTTCATGTACTGTAATGTAACAGTCTACCGCTAGCAAGCGGCTAACCATGTCCCTTCAGTGGCTCCGTAGAACACGTTATTTGTTTTCCGTGCCTTTCTGCATACGGATTCGCGCTTCGGGCACACCCCTAACCCCACCCTCCGATTTCATCGTCCATCACAATGTTTCACTGTAGAAATCGTCCGATGCCAATTTGGTAGACATCGGCCAACCCTAATTAGAAGCCAAATTTTAAGTAAACTCGCTATAGGACTGTGGTTATTTTCAACCATGTGAATGTCTCAGTAGAGCATTTTTTGCTTGTTTGGTACATTTCACTGTAAATCAGTAACAGTTTTGCAGCAGGCTTTGCAAACAGACTTTTACTGTAAGATATAAACCTGACAGCATTGTCACAACATGGAAGTAACATTGTTTATTCTAATGCCTGATCTGTGACCAGTGATTTCTGAGGTGTAATTATTCAAGTTCAGTCATATTGTTTCAAAATAGTTTTTTGTGTGTGTGTGTTTGTGTCAGTAAATCAAGCCAGTGACCAATCTTACATTTTTTTTCTCCTAATATCATGAATATAATCTGTTATTTAAATTGTGATTAAATTATATACAGAAATGTTTGCTGGAGCTGTCAGTCACACAGCACCAGTTTATCTGGACAATTAAAACTCTCATTATAATCAATGGTTCTCTTACACAACACAAACCTTTTACAGTATTTACATCATGTTTGCTGTTAGTTATGATGAAAGCATTTTGTGAGAGTGCAGAAAACGAGTTGCAATGAGATCAAACAGATTGTCATCTGCTCATTGCTCCATCCTTTCTAGTGATGGGAGTAGATCTAAATATAATGCTATAATTACCACTTTACATGATTAGTTAATCTCGACGGCTTAATGGTAAAAACATAGTAAAAGTATATGAGACTGTTCCACATGTAATACTTCCTATGCAAAGATGTTAGCCAGTCACAGCAGTGGGCGTTTTAATTGAAGTCTCACGGCAGACACTTCCCTTCAAAGAGCGTTCAAATCCGAGACTAAAATCTGGAAAAAAATTACATTTATTTAAGTGTAAAAACATAAATGTGCACCTCAAGAAACAATATGAAATAATAAAAAAATGCAGTTCAAGATTCCTTTAAAATTTATTACATTTGAAGTGCAGATACCTGCAGATTCCCTGAAGACAGCTGTGAAATAATGTAGATTAGACAAGTGCTTTTCACAATACATCAAAGGGTCCATTACATGAAAATATATTTTGTTTCTTAGGTTTTTTTTTTTTTTATTTTCGCGTACAGACAACAGCATTGTGAAGGGGATGCCCATTTGTAAAAAACAATAGGCTAACATCATGTGCATGAGTATTGAGTGTTTTCATGGATCTGTGTGAAAAGGGACAGTTTTGACACAGTTTTCATCTGTACACAAATATTTTATCCTTTTATTTTCCAAATGTTGATTTTCATCTTTTGAATGATTTCATTTTAGGCCTGATGAAAGTGAAAGAGGAAACACAAGATCTGAATGAAGTGGAGGAGAAACATCAGGATCAGAAAGATCATGATGTCAATGGAGAAAAATCAGTGAGTTGCAGCATTCAAATAACAGAAGTTAAAAAGCCTTTCAGCTGCTCTCAGTGTGGAAACACATTCAAACAGAAAGGAAGCCTTATGAAACACATGAGAATCCATAATGGGGAAAAGCCTTTCAGCTGCTCTCAGTGTGGAAACACTTTCACGTGTAACGAAAACCTTAAGAATCACATGTTAATTCATGCTGGAATAAAGCCTTTCACCTGCTCTCAGTGTGGAAAGCGCTTTACAAAAAAAAGGCAACTTAAGGACCATTTGGTAACTCACACTTCAGAAAAGCCTTTCACCTGCTCTGAATGTGGAAACACTTTCACACGGAAAACAAACCTTAAGAAGCACATGTTAATTCATACTGGGATAAAGTCTTACAGATGCTCTCAGTGTGGAAATAGTTTTACACAGAAAGGACACCTTAATGATCATTTGGTAACTCACTCTTCAGAAAAGCCTTTCAGCTGCTCTCAGTGTGGAAAGTCTTTCACACGTAAAGGATACCTTAAGACTCACATGTTAATTCATGCTGGAATAAAGCCTTTTTCCTGCTCTCAGTGTGGAAAGAGTTTCATATGTAAAGGAATCCTGAGGAATCACATGTTAATTCATACTGGGATAAAGTCTTTCATCTGCTCTCAGTGTGGAAAGAGTTTTACTCAGAAAGGACACCTTCAGAATCATCTGGTAACTCACTCTACAGAAAAGCCCTTCATCTGCTCTCAGTGTGGAAAGTCTTTCACACGTAAAGGATACCTTGAGACTCACATGTTAATTCATGCTGGTTAAGAGTAGGGCTGCATGATATTGGAAAAAACTCACATTGTGATATTTTGTTTTTTTCTGCTATATTGTGATATGAGAAAAAAGAAATCACCAGATGACTTGAATAGCTCTATTTGGAAAAAATTTTTTTTATCAATGATTGGGGTTTGTAGGTGAGTAAATCAGCATAGATAAATATAATAGAACAAAGATACAAATGAAATAAACAGTGCTTTACATTTTTTTCAGGAAGTCTTAACAGTATTCCGGTACAGAAAGTGAATAATCAAATGTAAAATAACACTGCATAGTCTTCATTGTACAAATTAAATCTAGTAAATCTGTTAAAGCTACAAAAGTGATTTTTATCTGTTGTTTGATTAACAATTATGACACCGAAAGCCTCATTAAACTGCTGTGAACCAAAATACTGTTACACATCCATTTCCTTTCTCAATTGTTTACCTTCACCTAAGCCATAAACCATTTAAAAGGATACTTGCAGAGACATGCATTTTGACATAATTTCGCACAAATAGACGCGGAAGTGAACGGAATTCAGTGTTCACGTGCATCTGCGTAGCTCTCACCGTGTCTACACCGGATACGAGCGGCGTGACGTGACAAAATAGTGAACCCATTATAATCCGATGTGGCGCGACACGACAAATCACCGAAAGTAAACAGCTGCCTCGTTCTATTTACGACGTGCTGACACAAAGTTCAAATGATGTGCAATGGTCGCTTTGTCACGTCCAGTGTACTAGACTATTGCGGCGTGGGGCAGCGCGATACTACAGCTGTCGTGTCCGGTGTAGACCAGGGCTGTGTGTGAGCAAAAAACGATCAGTATAAATATAACAATCAGTATACTAAACATCGCACATCCTGCGATGTGACTATCGCGGATGCGCACATCGCGGTATGCTGAAACGATATATTGTGCAGCCCTATTCAAAAGCCTTTTGGCTGCTCTCAGTCTGGATAGAGTTTCACCTGTAAATGAGGATTTAATCATTGCATGAGTGTTCACACTAAAGAGATGCCTTACCATAAAACTCATACAAATTAAAAGCCTCACATCTGTCCTAGGGCTGGACGATATGGGCAAAATTTTTATCACGATATATTTCTTAATTTCGGTCAATACGATATAATTCCGTTATCGATATGAACACAATTTAAAAAAGCCTCATAAAAACTGCCAAGAACACCCAAAACAGATGTCTGTACCTACAAACTTGTGAAAAATTTATTTGCCAAGTCTATGAAACCTCTTCCTATAAAACTATTTAATTTTTTAGGGAAAAAAAACAGCACAAATAAATTAATGTTCACCTTTTATTTGTATTTAGCCTTCATACACACAAGAAATGTGAAATCACTGTCAAATAAACACCTTATTAATTGTTAATATCTTTGACTTCAAACTATAGGCTAACATACCAGTCAAAAGTTTTTGAACAAAAAGTTTTTTAATGTTTTTTAAAGAATTCTCCTCTGCTCACCAAGCCTGCATTTATTTGATCCAAAATACAGCAAAAACAGTAACATTTTGAAATATGTTTACTATTTAAAATAACTGTTTTCTATTTGGAAATATTTTAAAATGTAATTTATTCCTGTGATTTCAAAGCTCAATTTTTAGCATCATTACTCTAGTCTTCAGTGTCACATGATCCTTCAGAAATCATTCTAATATTCTGATTTGCTGCTCAAAAACATTTATTATTATGTTGAAAACGGTAGAATTTTTTCAGGTATCTTTGATGAATAGAAAGTTCAGAAGAATGGCATTTATCTGAAATAGAAATCGTTTGTAACATTATAAATGTCTTTATCATCACTTTTGATCAATTTAAAGCATTCTTGCTAAATAAAATAATTAATTTCTACAACCCCCACCCCCCCTTTTATTTCAGATAAATGCTGATCTTTGTATCTTTCTATTCATCAAAGAATCCTGAAAAAAATATACTCAACTGTTTTAAATATTGGTAATCAGCAAGTCAGCATATTAGAATGATTTCTGAAGGATCATGTGACACTGAAGACTGGAGTAATGATGCTGAAAATTCAGCTTTGATCACAGCAATAAATTACATTTTTAAATATATTCAAATAGAAAGCAGTTATTTTAAATAGTAAAAATATTTCAAAATGTTACTGTTTTTGCTGTACTTTGGATCAAAGAAATGCAGGCTTGGTGAGCAAAAGAGTCTTCTTTAAAAAAAACTATACAAATCTTACTGTTAAAAAAATGACGAAGTTTAGGCTAATTATTCTTATAGATTGAAACAAATGTGCTTCAGCCAGCATAAAGTATGAAAAGTGCTCAGAGTTGCTACAGAAAAAAAAAAGAAAAAAAAAGCCAGCTCCGCTCATGAACGCTACTTTATCAGATAAAATAAAAATGCTATCGAAACTTTTCTGAAGACAATCGGTTCCTTTCAGAGATTCATTAATATAAAACACCCGTGCCGCGTTTTGATTTAGAAATGTGCAGTGCTCATGTTTATTCAACAAAGTCAAAAGCCACAAATAAATCAGTGTATGGGAAACACTGGTACTGTATATCGAAATATCGGAAATGTATTTAAAGGGGTCATATGATGCGATTTCTAATTGTCCTTTTCTTTAGTGTGTTATGTAGCTATTTGTGCATGTATGAGATCTGCAGAGTTACTAAGCTCAAAGTCTCCCACAAAAGGATTTATTCTATCTAAAAGAGAAGGCTGATCCAGACCGGGCTAAAACGCCTCATTCAAATACGCCCCCACATGTCTACATCACGATGTGGAAATATTTGCGTTACGCTGCCCAAATGTGCACGCAAAGAAAGAATCAGTTTTGTGAACCTAGGAGAGTAGCCTACAAGGCTGGCTGTGCAATGGCTATTTCTAAAAGAAAAAAAATGGGTCAATTACGATTTGGCTATGACAATCTGGTGCTTATTCTGAATCAGCTACTGTAAGTATGTTTTCTTAATAGTTTAAGTATTTGCTATTGACTTTTCAAATGCGGAGTTTTGCGCCGTGTAGAGTATTGTGTCGTGTGTGTGTGTGTGTGTGTACTCTGTTCCCCTTTCGGGCTCTGTCTTTACATTTATGTTGAAAGCTGAAGCTCGCGATTATGGTAAGGGTACATTTCCGACGCATGCTTGTGGTTGACAATGCACTGGGTCAGCTAGCCAATCAGAGCAGACTGTGCTTGTCGGAAGGGG